GAGCATGGCCTCTCTGCTGGGAGGATTACAGCTACTCACTCTCTTCCCTGCCCTTTGACATCTAAGGACTGCTCCCAGAGAACAAAACTGTAGCTTTGGCCTTCTCCCCTTCAGGGAGCAGAGAAATGCGAGCTCAGGCTCCAAGTATATTCCCTGAGACCTCATCTTCCTTGGGCTTTTGTCAGCTATTACACACTGTAAGGCTTTTCTAAACTACCAGCAGGTGACTACTATTATTGTTGAAAAGAGAACAGCAAGAAAGTTTTAAAGCTCATACAAGCAAAGGGTGGAAGAATTGAAGATCTGATCCCATCTATACATCACCTGCAGTGGAAGAAAGAGGAGCTGAAGTTTAATAGAACTTAGTTCTTCTCCAGTCCCCTCACTCCATCAGTGCAGAAACACTGATGGTTCAGTCAGGTGTTAGATGCACAGGGCTCTACCTTCCCAATGAAGGCTCAACTATTTTATTCCAGCATATACACCAGTGAGCACCACTACCACTTGGCCATGGAACATGGAGAATAAAGAGCTTATTGTGAGCAAACCCTAATAACAATGAAAGGTAATGACCATTGTAACAATCCTGCATTGTGATGTTCATTTCTGAAACTTCCTTTTTTAGGGTAGAAATTTTCTGTACCTTGTCACTCTTCAGAGATGATTTCTGTCTCCTTTCTTTTGAAAAGACTCCTTTGAAAATCCTCCTTCGTCAGTTTTGGGAGGATGAGCAAGGCATGAGACTGCACTCAGTGATAAGAAAGCAATTGCTACAAAACTGGGAGAAAACTATCATAAATTACACGACTTAGGAAAACTAAACTGTCTTATCTAATATTTCTTAATTACGTAGTTACAAACTGTCAGACACACTGAATCTACAACACTCAGCATCTAGATCAGCTGGATTAGTTCAAGATTCAGTAGAAAAGAATTAGATGTATCTGGTCTGCTCCCAATACCTTTCCAAAAAACCCAAAGAGATAACTGCTGAACTAGGGATATTTTCTTCCTGAATAAGGTATGCAGAGGAGGGCTGGCAGGCTGCTGCTAAGAAATACTTTGTTTGAAATCAGTGCTAGAGGAGTCTAAGGTGAATTCTCTCCCTGAGATGGGAGGGGGAAAGGGAAAGTATGTTTTTGTCCTGTATCATCATTTTAATTTCTGCATACTTAATTTGCCCCATCCTAAACTCTGACCAGCTAAGGTTATAATAAGCAGCCTTCAACTCAACCACTTTGAAGTCACTATTCTTGAAACACAACAATCACAACAGCATCACATTTCACTGTTGGGCAGTCCTGCACCTCCCAAAGAGATGGGATGCATCTGTTATTTGCTTGGACAGTCTCCTCCAGGCACCCTCTGGAAACCCAAAAGTGAGAGCAAATGCAGTGTAACTGCCTGCACCAACCAGTTTGGAAAGGATGAGGAAGCAGGGGCAGGACTGCTTTGTCTACAACGAATGCGAGTAGAACTGAGAGGAAATAGGTCCTTAATGCAGACAAGCCTCAATCAGCAACAGATCACATCAACGAATCTGTTGTAAATGTTCTCTTCCTGTTCTCATAGGTGAGGCTGAAATAAGCATATTGCCTACGTTCAGTCCCAAAATTAAGATACATACAGGCACAGTTCTCTTAATTACCTCTCTGGTCCTATATACAGAACATTTGAGGCAACCACAAGTATCTTCACTTGACCCAAACCAACTGTGTCACGAGGTGAAGCTGAATATAGTCCTTGTTTTATTCACCCCCTCAAAGAAACAGCCAGCTTTGTACTAAACCCTTCAGGTCAGCAGGGGGGAGCTGGCACAAAGCAAAGGAAGGGATTTGCCACCTCAGCTGCTTACCTATAAGAAGTGCCATTTCATCCCACCAGTTCCTGGACTCTCAGAGTGAGGAGATGTAGGTAAGAGTACCCTTCCTCTGCCCCTGGGCAGATGGCTTCAGTAATTGAACAGTTCAGACTCCAACAAAGCAGAGTGCATATGTGCAAACACACTCACACAACACTAACCTCCAAAGACTCCCAAACCCAAATGACATCAAGATTTTCTTTAATTATTGTATTTTTAAGCCCTTGATTTTCTTGTGGTGGGGGCCTCAGAACCATTGGAGACCTTGGGGGGTGGAGGGGTGCCAAAGACAATTGTGGCCTGGGAATATTTGCCAGCTGGACTAAGAGATTTATTTTTGGTTCTCCATTCTTTTTCTTCCTGTTCGCCTTGCAAATCCTGCTTTCTGGCTGGCTGGGATCTGCAAATCCCCAGCCTTACGAACTGCAGACCTGGAAGGTGCTGGGGTGTCAGTCCCTGAAACTGAGAGGGCTAATGCAACAGTGAGCAGTGATTTGCTATATCAGGAAGCCTGCATTTTCACAAACTGCACCCACTAGCCACAATTCCTATTGAACTTTGAAGGACCAGTTTTGCTCCTGTTTACACCCATTCAGCTTTAACAGCTACTGCTGATTTTTATGAGGAATACAGTTTGGAATTTGGGATTCATTTCCTATTCTAAAGAAAGGAAAAGAAGAAAAACATACTTTGAATCCAGCTATCTTGCAGCCTGAAATTCTGTTCTGCATTTTTTCCTTTCAATGCCGCAGCCTCCTCTGCTCTTTCTGCCTACTTCCAATTTTCAGATGAACTGCTGAGATACTGAAATTCAAACTACATGAATACACATCATATAAAACAATCACAAAGGCTGTGTTGGTTCCATATCTTCTTACCTATCCTTCAAAGTAATATCCTCTGGTTGCTTGACACAACAAAGAACATCTTGCAAATACAACTGAAATTCTGACCAGAAATGGTTAAATGCCACAGGAGCTGGTCCTCAAGGCAGCTGCCTACCATGAAGATGTGCAAGACTGTCTTGAATTCAATCCCCAGCTGAACTGCCAGCACCAAGAACGACCCTCTGAAAACAGCTGAGAATACAGGGTGTGATGTGAAAGGTGCTGATTTCCTCCACCTGGCAAAGGCAGCACTATCTACCAACTGCATACAGAAAGGGGAGTCACAAGAAGTATTTTGGATCACACAGGACCTCACCATGGAGAAGAGTAGAGAACAAAACCCTTTTTGTAATAATCATGAGGCACCAGCAGCAGCAGAGAGTTGAGAGAAATGGCTAAAGCAAGAGGAAGACATTACAGATACTAATAGGTAATAATCACACAAAAGTTCAGGAGCAACTGAAGCTGAAGGAGATGAGTTCCTAAGTGTAATCTCATTAACATGAGCTACCTCACAAAGAACTGAAAGGAAACATGCAGCCCTCACGCTCTCAGAACAAGGCATGAAATACCATAGGAGGACTGTCTGAAAGTTCCCACATCCTTGCAAAAGACTGTCTGAGGCCAGTTTGCAACCAATTACCTGCCATGTCCTTTCTTAGTACTTTCATATTTTTCTCATGAGTTAATTCCTGCAATACACAAAGCAAAACAGATTCACTGCTCAGATAAGAAACTGTCCCATACACTTGTTTTATCTTTAGTAACCAGAGCTGGCCAAATAGCTAGAAACCAGGTGGGTTTTCACAATCCTGTTAGAGAGCAGGAAGGTAAAGACTTACTGGAAGGCAAAGCGTACATAAGCATTGCATGATACAGTATATACATCTTCCCCCCCATCTCTCATTGTCTCCAATGACTTTTCAGAGCTTGATCTATTAACAGGACACAGTAGGCAAAACATGTGGTCGTCTTTGGAGACTTTGTCTTATTCTTCATCCAAATTTATATATTCTTCTGTAAGCCTTGCTGACAGTGCCCCAGTTTCACAACCCTTCAGTCACTCCTTCCAGAAAGAAGGAAAATACTCTATCATCTGGATATGCTACAAACATCAAACAAGGAACAGCTTGCACGAACAAAAGCATGCTACAGATGTGCTGGTCCAAATTATTTGGCAAACAACAAGTATACTAGGAAAGGACAGATAGATTAGGAAAAAATAGTGAAGTTATTTCCTCATTAACATTATTCTCAATAAATAACTTGACTCACTTTGCTAAGAATAATTTGACTGGAACATCCTTCTGTGGTACTTAAACTGTTTAAAACTTATTTTTTAATTGGTCTTCATGCACAGCTTTTGTCAGAATTTATTATGTTTTACCAGATTAAGGGACCAGAATTATACTTTAACATTACACTAGTAAGCAGCAAACTTCCTATTTGCTCACTCTTCATCTTGTGTGCCTCCTCTTTCTTTTAGATTTCTTCAGTGGTATGTAATATATTTCTGTCTACGCCGAAATCCTAAACTGCAAATGTAGGGTAAGATACTAAATGCCCTATATGGATAATCAGAGCATAAACAACCATAGCAGAAATTGCTTGCTAGCCTCCTACCACTCAACATGAGAGCTGAACTCAAAAGAAGGCAACCCCTCATTTTTCTTTTCCCTCCACTCTATACAGCTTCAACATACACAGTTTGATTCACAGAACTTTTTAACTCGTCCATCGGGGTCACAAATCTATGGATGACACCCCTAGAGGATTAAATACCTTCGCAAGAAGCAGGGGGTTTCATGGCTCCTCAGAGCAAAGCACCTAATGGCCAGGCTAGGCTTTAGCACACAAGCAGGATTTGGACATGCAGGCTCCACCAGCAGCCAGCACACCTTACATATAGCTGCTACTTGGAAAACAGACTTCCCTACCATCTTCTGGGTCTTTTTCCCTCCCTCCCCCGAGATCTGTTGTCAGAGGAAGGGAGTCCAGAGCTTCTTTCTCTCTACCAGCAGGTCGGTTTCGCTCTGTTACATTAATGGGAATTGCAGGTGTACTTCAGCCCAAATGTTAATTTCTTCAAACAGCAGAGAAAAGGCTACATGCACTTGGGGAGGAAGACTATACATCCGTTTGTGCAATCTTAGCTTTCAAGGGGAAATGTGCAGTGGAAAAAGAAGAAATGATAGGGGAAATTAAATTAAAATGCAGGAAAAAGAATATTAGTAACAGAAGGGAAATTTTACCTGTGATGCTGGCCAAAATGCTTTCAAGATGCTCAGTGAGAATACACGGGTGTACAGGAAGCACAGCAGACTATCCAAATATGATGCTGAGCTGGAGGGTTCTGGGGAAATTGTCCTGTTTCTACAGTCTAAGAGAACGCAGCTGCTCAGCCCAGCTCTGACCTTGGTGGCCGTCTCGTCCCTTATTTCTCTGGGTTGGCAGGAGCTCATCGCGGAGCCTGGCAAGGACAGCCCTTTAGGCATTCCTGCAGTATCTCTCAGCTCTTCTGCCAAATGGTCTGGGGCATGTTCAAAGGCACTGTGAGTGAAGAGGGGAAGCAGAGCAGCACTCTGAACGACATGGCATGAGTATGCTCTGGTAAGATTTTCCTAGGTACTGTGTGACAAAGAACATGGGAGGTTGTTTCCACTTACAGTTCAAGCTGTTTGCTCAAACCTATGGAACTGACCTCCCTGTGCCTAAACAGACCTCCACCAGCCTCACAGATGGAAGTCACTCTGTAAAGGCTGTCATTTCCAGAGCAGGATGACTGAGAACTGCACATCTATTTTTGTTCTCGTCTTCTCGTGCTTCTTGCCCTATCCAGACCAACTTCCCACTTTGGTGAAGGGAACAGTATTTATCATAGCACCATAGAGAACACAGGACAGAAAGACCCAACCTGGCAAATGCCTTTTGACACTAAGAGAGTTATTAATCATCAATGTTTTACACTACAGGGGTATCAAACACGTTTCCACTACTCCTGTCCCTGTAATGATGCTCTTCTACACCATCTCAGAGTCTTTACTTTGGTTCTGGCCCAATCCCTGCTCCTGAAGCTCTTCACCACAGGGTCAGTCTTTTCACCCAGCCTGCTCTGCCCTTCAGTCCACTCTCCCTTGTTGGTCACTCAAAAAGGTTGATCAGATTAGGTGGAAGGAGCTGTTGTCGCAACTGGCCACTGTACTTGGCCAGCATCAGTTCTCACTCCGCCCCACATTCCTGTTGAGACCTGTCTTCCTTCATTATCCTTTCCTGTCCCACTAATTCTCCATCCCAAACACTGTGGGCCTGCACTCACATAGCTTCCAGAGCCTTTCTGCTGTGCATTGCAGCTCTGTTTCCAGATACCTTACCAGTACCTTGTACAGTGGCATGAAAATATCCTTATCTCCACAGGTCACCCACCTAACACACCAGGGGTGTATTTGCATTGGCAGAGTACAGCCATCGTATGACCACCAATGTTTAAACATCCAAAGCTACACTACTGAGTTTCAGTTCATATTTAAAAAAAAAAAGAAAATTTGCTAAAACCCCAGCCACACATAAATGAATGTATAAAAAGTCTTTTTCCACTCCTTTTTCGTTACTTCCCATAAGTGTGTTGGGGTGGCAAGGTTTCTGATATGGACACCAACCCTTTGAATAAAACTTGGCAGGTTTCACACCACTCATTTCTCTTAGGCCTGCATGATATTAACAGCTTCCAGCCAGACCACTGACAGGAGGAAAATAATTCCTTTTGTTAGCAATGACCTTCCAAGCTAGTGTGCTTGCAAGGCATACTAAGTGCTAGCAGCTTTTCTTTATTTCATTGATTTTCCCAAGTCATTGTCAGAATTGCAGTAATAGGTTCATTAGTCTTACAACAAAGAGGTGATGAACATATCCACCAAGAAGAAACCACCAGGAACTGCAAAGGATTCACAGAACATGGGAGTGGTGTGATAAAAATGATAGATCAGCTTGGGGCACAGGTGGTGCTGCACAGCATTGCTCTCCCCTCCGTGCTGTTATAAACTGGGATGTAATTAGGCTCACTCTGATCTGACATATGGACACTGCCCACCCTGGGGCTCTGTGCACAGGATCTGTTCTTGAAGACCCCATAGTTTTATCACTTATCTCTGCCTAGCTCAGCTCACCGCATGCTGTTTGCTTTTACCCAGACAAGCTCCTTTACTTTTATTTTCCATACTCATCTCTGCTGATCAGTACTATCTTTAGCACCACTCATTCATATCAGAGAGAAAAATATTCTAGCCTGTTGAGGGACATCCATGTGGAGCTACACAGTCCCATGGTAGATGCCCCTGATTCTGGAATGACACATCAGTGCTCTATTCCACTTGGGCATTACCTGAAGAGATGCTTTACCATTTTCGCCAACTCCTGTCATTCCCCCTATCCCTAAGTGGCTATACTAGCAGAAGAGAAATATCTCTTGATTAAGATACTTGCTTATAATGCAAAACAGTAAAAGTACATGTTCATAGAAATTACATCTTACATTATAAAGTAAAAAGAGGAAACCTTTACTAGAGTTTACTGTCAACAAAAAATAAAAATAATGCCATAACAACAATTACTCCTATCACTGTATTATAACCTCTTTAAGACCTAGATTGCTTAATATTCAGAGTTTGTATAGCACCAACCACATCTAGCCATGCTTCACTTCTTGTGTATTTCATGTTTTCCCCCCCCATATTTACATCTTACTGGAAAGTTTAAAAAATATTATTTGTCCGTTTCTCTTATGCAATAATAGCAAACACAAATCACAACAAGCTCTGCTGTTTATCTCAAAATCCAGAAGAAACAGGAGTATGTCCACAGTAAGAGGCCCCAAGTTCAGGGGACTCAGCAGTAGCTAGACCATCTGTGCTATTCTCTTCCCATGGTCGTGTTTAATGCTTTTCTGAAAGCACACCTGCATGCCAAACTGGACAGATTCACATCCTCATGACCGGAGAGAAGCACAGTTTTAACACCCTCATGCAATCTTCTCTGGCTTGCTTTTACTATTTGTAGTATCACTAGGGAAACCAAATGTAAGACTGGTGATCTTTATTCAACATGTGCCTTCCCCAGACGTGATCTCAGTTAACTTGATTTAATTTAACTCCAGCCCATTCTTTCCTATGCAAATACCTATGAAATACATTAAACTGGAAGATAAGCGACAATAGCTGTGATTCTGAGTAGATTTTTATGTCCAGTACATGAAGAGCTACAGTGACCTCTAATGGCAGCCTGCCAAGCCTTTGGAACTACAGTACCTGTGATGCTAAGCAAAGTGTGTTGTATATTTGCTATAAGATAATGAATCACACCTAACACTCACTGGCTGGTCTCACAGCACTTTACAACAGTGGGGATGTAATTACTTATAGGACATTGAGGCAGAGGGATATGGTGTGACTCACCTAAGATCATACACCTGGTCTGGAACAGCCACCACAGAAACAGTTTAGGGCTTTTGTGTCCCAATCCAATGCTTTCTCCAAGTAAACCTGACAATGGATTAGATACAAACACAGCCAATTCTGTCTTACACCTGGGTTCTGCTCCATCCTTCCATGGCAGCTGGTGCTCTCACTTCAAGGCATTCGCCTTAATTTCTGAATAAAATTATCTCTGCATGACAGTGCTTGGTATCGGTTAGCAGCTGTGGAAAGGCAGAGCTTTAGTTACAGAAAATCAGGGGGAAAAAAACAAAACTCTACTTTTTGATCCAAATTCCTCCAGGAGTGACTCTGGCCTGCAGCTTAGTCTATGAGCCAACATGGGTATGGGATGAGTTTTTTATTGCAATATGAACAGAGTAGTATCAGGAGTTCTCTGACCTCAACTTTTTATGCGCTTATCCTCACAATTCAGCTGTTTTCTGGGGATATGGAACCTTCTCCAATTTAGAGGTGGAAAACCGAGACAAGGAATCACACCCAAGACAAAGCTCTGCGAACATCCACACAGCTACAGCTCATGCTCTGAATGCAGTTTGGAGTTCAACTGATTCACATGGGCAGAGAAACACAAGGCACACAGGGCAAAACCTTGCCTTGTATTCAGGCTGGCCCTCCACTGCTTCTGGCTTCAGCCATTTGGTGTAACAAATGTGAATTTATGCTCAGAGTACATTTCATGTAGAAACACCAGAGGCACCAGTAAGATACTGGGCACCACCTTGCTGGGGTGAGTCACTTCTGTGAAAGCTCTCACCTCTCAGCCAATGTAAAGTAGTGAGACTTAGCTCAGAACACAATGAAGGAAGCTTCATGAAGGCAGCATGACCTTACATGAAGGGAGAACTGAGCACCTGCATCGAGACAATGACCATGACTCAGATGACACGTGGAAATTTGAGCCACAGCAACACGAGCATTTATCCAAATATTTTCCCATAGTCACAAAAGAAGCCCAAAGCACAACAGAGTGCAGAATTTAATGTTTTACCAGAACCTCAAATAGTAAGCCCACATTCCCCTCTCTCACTTGATAATGAAAAATAACATTCAGGTGTATCCTTTTTTCAGAAAACTGTTATTTCTCTAATTGCTCCAACATGAGATTTTTTAAAGTATCATTCATTTGAACTGCTCCTGAAAGAATTGAATCTGTACTGATGAAGATTAATAGAAGATTTGCAATAATAAACCTTGGAAAGGATACTTTTTAGAAATTAATATCTTAAAAATAAATTTTCAGCTGTGCATAGCTAGTTTTGTGGTTGCTCACTGCAGGGTTGCTTGGACTTCAGAAGTAAATGTAGTGCAGGCCACAATGTATAGGGACTAGATGGGACCTCAATTCCGCAATTCCTATGTGAGATAAAACTTCCCTGACATGAGATTTTCCATTATATCAAAGTACTTGTACAATATCTTGAAAGGGAAATATAGGAGATTGACACAACTGAGAATCATTATTCCACCTTGCAGTACAAAGCTGCTTTGCACCGGTAAGTAATCAATGGGAGGAAAGCAAGCCTGAGATTTCTGGTGACATTTGAGGTCATAATGCTCATTCTGTAGCTTATGCACATCCAAGCAGAGCTCAGACACACAGTCTCCTATGTCAAGCACTAAGAGAACTGTGATTTATATCAGTCAGATGCTTTCATCACAATACAAAGTTATGTGAGGTCATGCATTGTCTGGTGCAGTGAATTGTCTGGTGCCAGTATTCAGAGCATATTCTAAATGCTATGCTACACCTCATTAGTTATGTATATTCCTTAGTGTTTGCAGGAATTTAGCACCTAAGAGCTCCCAGTGAAATCCAGCCCTACTGCACAGAGTGTGCGTGCCCTTTTTATGAGTCAATTCCCTGCTCAAAGGTGCATTTTAGACAATGTTTTCTCAACCGATATTTTGCCATCACTGCTTAAACTCCAAAAAT